AAAACGAATCAATCTCTGGACCTTTTTTCTTTCCTAACAAAACAACATTTAAGGAAATATGCTGAACGAGCATATAGGAGATTATTTTCTGGACATCACGAGAAGAACACAAAAGAATTATGCGAAGAAATTAAAATAGAAGGGAACCTAAAAACTAAAAACAATTATTTCTGTTGTCCCATCTACTTCCGAATCTGATGATGAACTCATGTGTGAATATAGCGCAATGAAGAAAATGAAGAGCCCAAGATAGTAACAAATGAACTTGAAATCTACAAAGAATTCAAATATTTTCAAGCAAGGAACAGAAGCGAAAATCTTTAGAGAATATTTTTAGAGCATTGTTTACAATCAAAAATTAGAACAAGTTTCTCCGGTAAAAAAAAAAAAGAAAAAACAAACACTTAAATGTGTTTTTTGAAATATCATTTCCAAAGGAAAGTGTGTCGCAATGTGCCCAATCACCACTCCCACCTTTTCTTAAACAACCCCGGATATGCCTGCCGGTAGAGAAAGGTCACGACCCTTGTGTGCTAAAAATAGCAACGACATCCTTTCAAACTGACAGAAACACACAAAACTCAATTTTCGCCACTAAACAAAAATAAAAGACCTTTAATTTCGAACTGAAATTAATTTAAATACAGTTAATTTAAATACAAACACCAAACACACTTTTGACTGTAATTAATACGGCCCGAAATTAATTATATTCATTTACTTGTTTAGCGTCACCGCTTCTCTTGTATAAACCGTCATATCTAGATGCCCGAGACTTCGCAGCGGTTTTTAGCCGGCCCGGGGAGCAGCCCGGCCTTCGGGCTGGGTTGCGACCATGGCAAAGTCTAGTTTGGACCATATCAGGACCTGCTAAGACAAGCCAAGACCAACTTGGACCAGAACTTGACTAAGCTTTGACCAGCTTGGACATGTTATGACCAAAACATTGACTAAGCCTTGACCAGCTTGGACATGTTATGACCAATCTTTGACCAGTGACCCTATGCGGAAACGCTTGGGTTTTCCCACGAAAAACGACCTTGTGTCACTTCTTGACCCCGTGGGAGTCAAGTCATCACACGAAAAACGACCTTGTGTCACATCTTGACCTCGTAGGAGTCAAGTAAATACCGCCGGCCAGGGAGCAGCCCGGCCTTCGGGCTAGGTTGCGACCATGGCAAAGTCTAGTTTGGACCATATCAGGACCTGCTAAGACAAGCCAAGACCAGAACTTGACTAAGCTTTGACCAGCTTGGACATGTTATGACCAAAACATTGACTAAGCCTTGACCAGCTTGGACATGTTATGACCAATTTTGACCAGTGACCCTATGCGGAAACGCTTGGGTTTTCCCACGAAAAACGACCTTGTGTCACGTCTTGACCCCGTGGGACTCAAGTAATCCCACGAAAAACGACCTTGTGTCACATCTTGAACTCGTGGGAGTCAAGTAAATACCGCCGGCCAGGGAGCAGGAAGCCTTCCTGAATCGCGACTTTGACGCGCCAAGTCAAGTCGACCGAGCCCAACAGCTGACGGGACCCAGCAGCAGCAGTTGTTCAAACAGTCCTTTTCAGGGCTAACTTCTGAAAGTCATTCGATCACCACTCTTCGAGGCTCCACTCACTTCACTCTCTGCTACTGTCTTCCCTCTGAGACGCCAGCTCACTCCTGCAGCTTCCAGACGCCTGACGATCTAATCCAGCGCCCACTGACGTCCAGCGACCAGTTCCAACCTCCGGATACCGTTCCCGAACAAACGACCTCTGTCGCCTTACCACCCACTGTTCACAAATAAAGACACGATTACCATCGTCTACAACGGACCATCTGCGTTTGTCATCCTTCATTGCTATTGCCAACTCCTTGCCTTTGTGTCCCCTTTTTTAGTTGTAGGGTCGATTGGTACTCACACCTCTCGGCCCACTGCAACAAGTGAATCTTCAAGCAAGTCATTAAACTTGATTGATTCTTAGAAATACAAGGACTAATGATTTAAGTGACAAGTAAATTCTTAATTTATCTTTTATTTCTTGCAGAGTATCGGTTTTTCGAGAAACTTCATCCATGCATATGCAGGAAATAAATGGTATTATTATTATGATTATGTTTGTTTTGGATCTATTTCTTTTAAAAATCAAAAACTGGGTGAACTAAATTAAAAACATAGAAGTCGCTCAGTTTTTTTTTGTTTTTTTTTGTGTTTTGCTAACTGACATTTTCATTCATTTATTTCTTAGCATAGATTTGGTTAGGGGAAGTGCTTCTTAGTGTTTTGTTAATTTTTACACTCTCGCACACTCTACATTAAAAAAATAGCACACAAAAAACGCAATAAGATATGAAAGATAAACAAAAATAAAATTGAGTGACTTAGTTGCAATGTTGACACAAAAGCATTTTTCTGTTACGGTGATTAATATTTTAAAACATTTTTAATTCATTCATAAGTCAAATGTAGCCAACGCCAGTGTAAAAATATAAATATCATAGAGACCCGATTGCTCTATGTTGAAAACGGCACACAAATGAAAATAATGAAAATAATTCCAATTTGTTTTAACAAATTAATTTTATAATTACTCATGCTTTTTAATTTTATTTCATTGCATCTTTTTAATTTCATTCTATTTGTATGCAGTTTTTAATATGGGATGTGCGAGGGTGTAATAATAATTACACCTTCGTACATTCCACTACAATACACTGTAATATTTACAAACCAGATTACACTCGATTTTAAAAACGGTGCACAAATGAAAAAAAAATTTAAACTAACTTCTAAATGCTAGGACCGTTTATTAAATGACGCAATGAACCCCACCCTCCGCTCGCCGGAAACGTTGAAAAAATAGTGTTGCGGAGGAGTAGGTTATTTGGGAAAATATGTATACATCAGAAGATATTATTTGTATTGGCTGCATGAAAATAAACTTCTCCACAAACATTTAAATTTTTGGGTATGGCATAAGGTCATCAACAAAAAATATAAAACAAACAATATTCCTTTTGAGAAAAACAAGAACAAGGCATTTTATATAACAAATATGTACAACATGAGAATGAGAATGTTCTTTAGGACAGACAGAGTTTCTTCAGTGTTCCTGTCAGTAAAAGGATTTTCAAAGAATTTAATCAGTTCAGATAAAATAATATTTTATCATAAATTTCTATCATAGCTTGTATTTGGAGATATGGTAAGAGTTGCTTCCCTTTACCTGTTGAATATATATTTTTTGTTAATGAAACACTAAAAAAGATGAAAGTTTAAATATTACGTGAATGAAGTTGATTCAACAAATGAGTAAAGTCTTTTGAAGAAAGTAAATTGTATTCTTCTTGGAAAGTTTGTTGTAATCGAAATTGGCAAATGGAATGTTGGTTTATATTAAAAGTTGAATTTTGTGTTTAAAAGATAAACTTTTAAGCTTATAACTCTTGAGTAAATTGTGCATTAAAAATGTTAAGAATCTTTTTGGTTGTAAGATAGTTGATTAAAATGTAAAAGTAAGTTTGTGTTAGGTTATGTTCAAATTTGCTTTTTGAATAAAAAATGTTTGTTTGGCAAACTGTATGTTCTTTGAGTAGAATTCTTGTTGTCTTGATAAAAATCAAAGATGTTGAAATTGAAGTGTAGTTGGTTGGTGAGTCAGTGAATTCAAAGTTTGGTTTACCCCACCCTAATTGGGGGCTCAGGGGTAGTACGCATACTTTAAGTATGCATGTTATAAATTAATATTATGAATAAGAATAGTATTTCAACATCCCCTTTCTATTTATTATTTTTACATTAACTGTTTAGTGATAGATAAATTTAAGAAATAAAATAAAGTTAAATAAAATGCTACTAAGACAAAAGGAATTAATGCGAGTGCAAGAAAATGAGAAAACTTTAAATTTCATAAAAAAAATATTTAAATTACATTTAATATTTGTGGGGTTGTTCTGTGATGCATCAACCTTGTCTGAATGTACTTCTTTTTTTTATATAGGTATGTATATAGTTTTGTTTGGGGGGTTAAAAAGATGTCATTAGCCCCATAATAAAACTATGTAAATTACAAACAAATCTTATACAAGATACATTACATTAACTGTAACAAATACAATAAAAGAACTTTTGTATACATTTCAGAAAGAAAACTATATATTTAAGAGAAGATATACATATACAGATATAAAAAGTTTTTGCTTATTTGGTGGGAGCCACATGGCTTGTGGGAGTGCTGTACCTGGACATCTGCTTCATTTGACTGTCAAAGATTAAGTGAGAGAAAATTTGACTTTTGCTACCATCGTTGGCAAAATGCATTTTCTGGTGCATGATGGGAGTTTTCATATTTATTTCACTGTTTTTTCACAATCCCACTTTTTTCTTCTTTATTGTTAATTATCATACTTATTTATGTTTTGAAGTAATTTTATTACTTAATTTTTCAGTTTTATTATTATTTTGGTTTTCTACTTCTACATAATCTAACAATAAGGGTTAGAGGTTATTTAGTGATTTATTTGTTGCTATCAGTACAAATATATGCAATTCATGAAGATTAATAGGATAAATAAACAAATGATGAGATTACTAAAGAGATAAAATATATAGCTCAATATAAAACATGCAACCATACTATCTAGATAAGTAAATAAATAATCAATAATAAAATAATGTAAACAATAATTGAATAATAATCATTACTTTTCTTATTTTCTGTTAAATTCTTCATTTTCAAGGACTGATATAAAATGCACATGTGTTTAATTTGACAACAATTTTCCATTCCTCAATATATATATATGAATATCAGGACAAAGCAGTGAAATTACCTATATATTAATAAATAATAATTAACTATATATTAATCTGATCTGATAAATTATCTATCACAGTATGTTCTAATCTATCAACTATATATATATATATATAACTAGCAATACCTTAGGTAAGCTTACAAAGCAAGTTGGAAAAAATATAAAAATCAGGACAAAGCATTAAAATTACCTGATGATCTTCCAGAATTTTTACTCGCTTCTGTAATTTTATCATTGTCTAAAAATAGAAAGAAAATTGAAAATGAATTAGAGTTGTTTTAATAACTTTCTCTCTTTGTGTTTATACATCTATCTAACTATATAGTAATCTAATCTGATAAATTATCTATCACAGTATGTTCTAATCTATCTATCTATCTATATATATATATATATATATATATATACACCTATCTATTCATTTGATTTGAACATAAATCATCTACCACAGACATTCCAATCTATCTATTTGTTACTCTATCATTCCATCTGTTAATATTTCTATTCATCTATCTACAATTCACTTTCAAATAGATGAAATGGTTGGAATAATATGTATAGCTATATATATATCTATATGTATGTAATGTATGTGCTCATAATTAAACAGTGCTCAATGTATAATAACAGGGCTTAAATGTATACTATTAATAAATATACACTTCGTTCCACACCATTTAACACACCTGTGAGTTTCATGCACAAGGCAATCATCAGGAATAGATTGAAAATTTAAAAGTAAATATTTATAAGGGGAGCTATCCATTTATTTAAAATTAAATATACATTTCTAAAAACTATATAATATATTAAAAAATTGATTAAATACATACATACATACATACATATATATAATTTGACTAAATGCAAAAATAAAATAGATTAGGAAAAAGTACACTTACATACATCCAATTACACACATATAAATATATATCACTCAACAAATGTAGGCAAATATACAAATATATGGTTTTTTAAAAGGATGCATGTTTGCTTATGGTATGTCCATTTCCTTTTTCTTTGTTCAGAAGTTAGGGTTAGTAAGTTGATAAGATAATGAATGTCACAAAGCACTGCCTGTGAACACCAATCAGGCTTCAACAAGTTTGGATGTTTGGGGGTAGTTAGCAGCATCTCTGATTGCCATCATTTTTTGAGTGAATTATGCTTTTATTTTCTACTGACATGTTTTGGATGAAGTCTGGTAGGCTTGTGTGTGTGTTTAAATGAGTTCAAGTTGAGCAGTGGTCAGATAGGTGCAACGTAAGTCATCTGGATAGGCATGTAGTGGTGTGAATAATATAATATTTTATGAGTTCGGTTTGATCAGTTGATCATTATTGTCTATATAGTGGACATATATTTTAGGTTTACTGACCTGTTTAAATATTATGTTTTCTACACGAGTCAAGCGAATTTCCCATACTAACACCATTAGTTTGAGTGTAGATGTTACCATTGTGGTTGTAAAAGGAGATTTTGGTTGTGCAAGTATGTAATAATTTTTGAGGATGTTTGTTTTGATGGATGGAGGTGGGATAGAATTATTTGTGTACACAAAGTTAAGGATAATGTCAATCTATCTCTTAATAGGATTATCATTCCATCTGTTAATGATGCAATTCAGTCCTAAATACATGACATGGCTGGAATTATAAGTTTGATTATCCATATATATATATATATATATATATATAATTATTTTTTATAAATAAAAAAAAAATTATAACATAAGTATGTTATAAAATCACTACAAAAATAGCCATTTTGTTTCAACACAGTCTGTGTCTTATCAAGTGATGATGTTGAAAAGAAAATAAATGGTTTTATATATATTATAAATTAATTGATTTAAAATATGGTTTTTTCAAAAAAAAAAAAAAACTATTTTTTAAATCAATTAATTTATAATATTAATGCTCTGTAAATTTACATTGAGCACTATTTTGTAAAAATAAAAATAATATCTATAAGAACACCGGATTATAAATCTTACTGTTCTTTCTTTTTATATATATATATATATATATATATATATATATATTGTGTATTTAGGCAACAATCCCTCTTTTATATATGTTTTATTAAAGAGTTTTCTTTTCTGGACACAAAGTGTGTAAAAGCTATCAAAATGTTCTACATTTCCATATATATATATAACAATAAAATAAAATATCACCTATGGTTATTTAAGTCTCTATTTGTCATTATATAATATTTGCATTCTACAGTACACTACTCGAGTAGGTATTTCAACTCACTGAACTACGCAGAGCATTGGAATTAAAGCAAGCATTTAAACACAACCGTGTCGGCTGACAGCAATTCACCCTGAAGACATGTGTACACTTGGTCAACACATATTCATTCAGACTGTGCTATGCATTCACTCCAAATATAATTTCAGCACACTGACAAGGCACACACTTTCACGACCATGTCAACTGATAACATCACGTCTTCACCTTTAACATGCGTCAATCATGTTGGACATTTTCTCTATTCAGCTTATAACTTTTTGCATCTTAAAGGTTTTCATTACTGCAACTGAGGTTAGGTATTGTCAGATTTAACTCCTCCTTAAATGTAAAAATTGTTCACTAGGGGGCGCACTCCCTACGCTATAAATACTGGGTTACTTCTTGTCTAGTTCTCTTTTTACTTTGCATTTCAGCGAACATATCTACAATGTAAGCTCTCGCACAAGATTGCATCTTCCCATTTGTGTGAGACGCCATGAACATTATACACACATACACGTACGTACGAACATTCACCAAAATACAAACTCTTTACGTTCACACACAAACACAAATGTTAATGCCTATGTCCATTGTAATATTGTGTTGTTTAATACATATATTTATTGATATATATATATATATATATATATATATATATTGGTGTTGTTGTTTTCTTTACACTTCTTTATGGTGGATTCATTCTCCGAGTCCGCCATATTCTTGTAATGGACTCCTAACAGGAATAAAAACGCACGTGTTCCTAATTTAACAACACGTAAATCCATGGTCCGCTACACACCAGCCCTGATTTAAACAAATTAATTGTGAATAATCACCAATGCTTTTTATAGTCATCTTTCACTTGTTACCAACTAAAACTGTTTTTACATCTTTTGTAACCTTTCACTTTGTTCATTTCTTTGAAGACAAAGTGTTTCTCAATTGAAATGTTCTGTGTTATCTTCAAATGAACATTCACCAATAAAAAAGAAACGAGAATTAAGACCGCAAAAGCTATTTTCATTTTATAAACAAAATTTCCATGAGCGTTTGCTGGACAGAAGAAGAAATGAAGTAGGCTAAGGAAATTTCTAATAGTCGACTAAAGTTGCATAAATAACTTAAATTTGTTTAGTAAATTTAAATTTTAAGTTCATAATTAAAAATAATGATAGATTTGCATCATTTCAAGTTTTTGATATTTGATGCTTTCAAAATGTCACTTTAGAGTGAATTTCATTTTTTAATTTTAGCACCTGTCAGATTATTTTTAGTATAGAAATATAGTAATCATTGATTAGTAATGTATATACCTCGAAAATGGGTGTAGTTTTCAAGTCAGAAATTTTTAACATTCAACCGACAAAAAAATGTTATGGGAATATATTTATTTTCGTAATTGTTGAATTTTACAAATAATAAATCTGTTTAATTGAGAAAAACGTAACACATTACGCAGCACTTATTTCGATTAACCGTGTTACTTAGAACGATTACTTGCTTACTTATTTCATAATTTCTCTACAGTAAAATGAACAATGTGAAATATTTTTATTAAAGATATCTTCAATTGATAAAATGTTACAAAAATGTAAAAATAGTTTTAGTTGGTAATAATATTGATTAGCGCGTTACTTAAATAAATGAAATTTTTTCAAAATGTTACGACGGAACGTGGATTGAATTTGAACTTCAACAAAATGTATCGACCTGAATCGTTATGAATATAAACATTTTGATTTTTTTCTAACAATACTTTTTTCAAATGTTGACCTTTTTTTTTTTATAAAAAAGAAAACAAAAAAGTCAGTGAGAAAATTTTTTCCCGTCTGATTTTGTTTGTTTTTGTGTAAACCTTTTTTTCCACAGAAGGATGCTGAAAAGTTTTTAAGATATGCGAAAAGCATCCTTAAATTATTCCCATTTTGTTTGTTATATTCAATAAAAAAAAAAAGGAAAAAGAAAATAAATCTAACAGACCCTTGGTAAATATACCATCAAGAAAATCGTCTTGTTGCACTGATTCGAAGTTTGGATAAACTTTATTTCTTTTTGTTTCGAATTGACTTGGTATGTTTTCCTGTTCGATACCAATTCCAATGATGGCCAATCGCTTGTTTTTCTTAATGCTATGGAGGAGAGACCAATGTTGTGCAAAGGAAACCATTAATGATTTGATAGATTCTTTCGTCATGATGATACATGTCATATTTGAAGACCTGATTAATCTATCAAATTCCTCAAAAATGTTACTTCCTGGCCGATAGTCGCGTATATATCTCTTGATTTCACACTTCTCATCGTATATGTCTTTTATCCGATCCACCAGTTCATTGGTTTCTCTTTGAACTTCTGTCTCATTATCATCACTATAGTCATAGATTAAAAATATTTTTCTTTTTTTATCCATTGAACTTCTTCGCGCTCGTCTTCCTTCTGTATCTGATGTATTACTTTCACTATTTAGAACTGAGTTATCTCCCTTATATAAAACCCGCTTCAAAATAATGATTCCGAAATATATAGGTACTAAATTTTATATACCCTTTTATTAAAAAGTTCTCCTTGTTCTTCAAAAGTTCTAACTTTTTTTTTAACTTTTCACCCCAAGCAAGAAGTGCCACTAGAACGCAAGGTGTTACAGAAATTTGGAACAAGAGTAAAGAGGCGTGAGAGAGGAAAACATGAAGAGAAGGACGGGGAATCATGGCATCTGGAGATGGTGCCAGGACAGGAAGGGTGACACAATGTCACCCCCAACAAAATTTTTCAACCAGGCTAAGGTGCCAAAAATAGTCTGAAAACAGTAGTGGAGACACAGGGTTTCGCAGGCGGGCATATGACCACACAGAAATAATTTATGACCCCCCAGTTTTGTCCCCCCGTCAGAAATTTTCTAATAAATTGTCGGGAAATTTGTGAGTAGGAAAAATATCAATGTTTTCAGCTTTCATGTGTTTCAGTTGCTACAATCTTGGTTACTAACAATTGAGACATTGTTGTAGCATTTTATCGGATGATATGGTGTTTTAACTCTGCATCATTAATAACAACAAAGCGAAATACAAAGCCAAAAGTGCAACAATTTCAGTCTTGCCTGTGTATCAATTCGCTGAGATACAATTTTCCATTGAGTGAGTGATATACTTTTGAATATATCTACTAGTGTTGGGACGATTAATCGGAATCGAGAATCGGAAAAATCGGAACTTTTGGGGGTATCGGAAACGGTATCGGAAAAATTTGTGCCTATTTTCCGATTCCAAAAACGATTCTTTTAAATTTTTAACTTAATTTTCCATTATTGGTACTAATGATAAATATTTATTGTTTTTAAATTATCACTAAAACTAAAATCATAATAACATCAAAATACGATGTAAATTTATTTTACTTGTATAAAGAAAAACAAAAAAATAAACTTTGCATAAATTCACCTGAAGAAGGCCGGAGCGTACAGCGGCCGAAACGCTGTAAAAAATATCGCGACAAAGATGAGGACAATAGTCCGAATAATGTAAATAATGTACATGATACCTCATCTTAGAAATATAGACAGATTTTTGGTTGTAATGTGGATTTTTTAGAAAATATATATTTTACTTTATTTTCCATAATTTTTCTACACGTGTTTCTTTAGGCATTTCCCACATGAAATTAATTCATTTTAATAAAAATATTAACTCTTTGCCTGAAGAAGGTCACGAGACCTGAAACTTGTGTTGCAAAATTATGGAAAATAAAGCATGATATATATATATTTTTTAAAATCCATATTACAACCAAAACTGTTGATATATCAATACTATCCTTTATGTGGAGATAGAGAGGATATTGTATGTGTAGCACAAGCATGTAGCACTGCCGTGTATATGTACAGAAGTCTGTTCCCACGGCAACAGACGAGTGTCAACCTGTGCAAATCTAACCGGTTGGAAGTATTCAGTCACGCAGGCACTTGGGCGGATCGAGATTTATCCTGACCTCGTTACACTTCGGTGGAGTCTTGAGCAACTGTGCGGCACTTTATGGTGATGCATCCCTCACCTATGCCTCATGCTATTCCACATGTTTTTTTTTCTTTATATGCTGTGTCTCCTCAGAGAGTATGGCTCTCCACATCTTTCTGTCCCTCGTGGCTCTTAATAAATGTTGTCTTTCTCTTATATCGCTTAAGCCCTGTCCCACCATCCATTTCGTAAGTAAGGATGTTATGTGTTGTTTTCCCCTGTCTATTTTGCTTTCAATCTGCCCTGTGAGTATCAGATTTTCTAAGCACTCTTTCCTCATTATGTGCCCTAGAAGCATCAACTGACTCATCCTGGTGTGAAGTATAAGTTTCCTTCTTGTTTCCATTTTCTCGTCGTTGCTCACATGATCCGTCCATAGTATCCTCAGCATCCTTCTGTAGAATTATATTTCTCTTGCTTCAAGTCCCTTCCTCATGTTTGAGGAGATTTTCCCAAATCCTTTACAATACATGAAAGCAGTTATTGCGTAACAGTTTAGTACTCTTCTTCTTGTTTCTAGCGAAGATTTACTATTTTTTCGTAATCTGCGTAGCTTTTGGAATGCATCTTTGGATATGCCTATACGTCTTCGGATTTCAGTGGCACACTCTCCATTCTCTGCTAAAACATTGTCCCAGATATTTAAATTTCCGCATTTGTATGATATGGTGGAGTAATGGATAACAGAGCCGTGTTCGAATTCTAGTCGAATCCATTATATTCACTTACGTGCTAATAACCTTGAGAAAAGTATGAATTCTCTTCTCCCTCTCCAGCTATGGGTAATAGTAGAACAGAACGGGTTTTATAGCACTGGATGGCAACTGGTCTACCGCAGAAAGAAATGGCAACCTACTGCGTGGAAAAAAATCTGTCTTGTCAGTCATGTATTGAAAGATACACACCCTTCTCCCACCCTGTTTTTTTTTTTTTAACTTGTCAAGTCGCAGAAGTAAAAATCTTTTCTGTGTTACCTTGTCGACTATGCTTAATTCTTCCCTCTTTCCCTCTTTCCCTCTTTCCCTCTCTCCTTCCCTCTCCCCTCCCATGTCTCTCTCTTTCTCTTTGCCCCCCCGCTCCAAAAATACTTATATTGAAATTTTTGTTTTTCTTTCTTCCTTTTTTAATATTAAAACTTTTTTTTCTTTTTTTCTCTGTTTTTTTTTTCTTTTTTCCCTTTCCTTGCGTCTGGATAAGTTGAACTCCATTCATTAATAAGAAACTGGTCTGAAGAGATGAATGTAAGGTCCACGAAATAAATTTATAATCTGATGGATATTTAAGGATTCTTTATTCATTATTATATTGCTCTGTTCTTACATTGAGCTCTATTTGGATTAATCTTTTCCTTGGAATTATTCCGACTTAGCATCAACTGATATTATATATATATATATATATATATATATATATATATATATATATATATACAATAGAAAAAAAAGTCGGAAAAAACACTTAAAAAGTAAATATAATGCAAATAGTGTACCTAAAAAGTTTTTTTCTATAGTAAGGACATCTCAAACTCTTGCCCTCTTTACATAAATTTCACTATTTTTCTTTCAAATTTCTCAAACTCTAGTCCAGTTGGCATTCATTTCACTTAGCATTAGTTTAAAATCACAAGGATGTCTACTCAAACACGTGCATCCACTAAGAAAACTTTAAAATAATAATGTTCACAATAACAATAATAATAAAAAGGAATTCTACCAATTTTAGAGCAACATAAATCATCAACAATAGTAATAATAAAAATGAAAAAAAGAGAAAACATTTAATATTTTGTAGAAAAGAATGAATAAAAATAATAATAATGTTAATAATAATAATAGCAACAACAACAATGAAAGTGTTGCGGAGTTTGTGCTAAGTAGGATGTGTCAGAAGGTGAGATTGTGCGAAGGCCTATAAATGTTCGTGTTCGTAAAGCATTCATCCACAACAAATAAATTAAACAAACATTTGAAGACAATTCAAATCGAAGAAACCAAAAACACAACGTCGTGACAGATTTCGACAAATAACATGAATTTCTATATAATTTGACATACACAAAGTGATATTAAGATTGCTTGTTAAATGTGGCAAGTGAGATACAATTGTAAAGAGTGACCATGCAGAGATTTGGTGTATGTATGTTGATGGTTTAAGTTTGTATGTGAGATTAAAACAGTTTGAATTCTGCAAGGTAAAATGAGTTCAAATATTAGTCTGTATGTGTGTGACAATTATAATTATTGATTTAAGTTATGAGGAGTTATGTACCTTTGACTGATATGTTATAAATTGACTAAATATACAATTACTATTTCTTAGTGATAATGTCACTTTTTTTTTAGTAAATTGTAAGTTGAATTAATTCACGCGGCAAGGCTGTGCAAGTTGTGTTGAGTTGCTGAGAGAGAGTAGTGGTCGTTGAGTCATTGTACTGGCGTGCGTGATGTCTGTTGGGATCTCTCTAAAACTCATTTACTGACTGGTATGATGAGGTTGATTAAATGTACAATTACTATTACGTAGTAGTAATGTCACTTTTTCAGTCAATTGTAATTTAAGTATCTTCACGCGGCAATAGCTGTGTAATTTGTGTTGCGTTACTGAGAGAGAGTGGTGGTTGTTGAGTCAGTGAGTCGGCGCGCTTGGAATCTGCTGCCATCTCTCGCAAATAGGTTCCTGACTGCTTGAATCAAGTCAAACGATACTATTTATGGATTTTTTGGATTTCGAACTGGCTCCAGATAGCTGCGCGGGAAAAAGGATTTCTCTCAACTTGCTCCATTTTTGTGCCCTTTTAACCAATGGAAAGTTAAGTTTGAAAAAGTGAAGTGATGATTGGTTAAAGTTAATTTGGAAGAAGAATGCAATTTCCTGCAGTGGGTGACAGGCAAATATGGAGGATTCCATAAAAGCAATTCGAGAAATTTTGAAATATTTTCTAAAAAAAATGAATAATAATGGAAAGCTACAAAATTTTAAAATATTTATTTCATATAAACATAGCATAATTAATAACAATAATAAATGTATACAACAAAATCTTTAAAATATTTCATGGAAAAAATAATTATCATAATAATAATAGCAATGAAAGGAATACATTTAGAATAAAAACTTTTGAAATATTTTGCAGAAAATAATAATAATAATAATAATTAAACAGAGGCTAATGGACAAATATATACACAGATAGATACAATGATAGATAGAAAAGCAGATATTAATATGCAAATAGATAGGCTGACAGATAAACCCAACGAGAGACAGAAAGGCAGAGAAATAAACATATATAAAAACAGACACAACAATCGATAGAAAAATAGAGAGCAGACAGGCACAATGATAGACAGAAAAGCAGGCTTATAGGCAAATAGGCAGAGACAAACAGATGACAGGCTTTGTGCTCGATCCACGTTGTCCGTTGAGTGACCGTTGATTGTCCGTTTGAATGGTTGAAATAAATTTACGACATTCCGCCTGTGGTAAAGGTGCTGTAGGGTTGGAAATACTTCGTCACCCACAAGGCCGCGTTAATGCTTTTCAACTCTGTCAAAGTAACGGAGCGGTGTAATAGGAGACTAGCTGCATTCAGAACTAAAGCGTCTCCACATCTTCGTTGGGGATTAATCAATTCCACCCTATAACCACTTTCTCGCCGACAAACGTCGCAACCAAATTGTTGGTCTATTTTTATTGTCATGGAAAAAGTTCAGATCAACTACATTCGTTAGTTTCACTTTCGCGGTTAAGACCCACTTTGCTACGCACATTGTAGTGAACCACCCCTATCCCATTCGTATTCCATTGGTGAGATGTACGTTCCACTTGAGCAGATTCTTCCCACGAAACGCTACTTTGTGGAACCGACTCCCAAGATAATACTTCCCCAATCACTACACTGTTAATCTGTTCAAGATTTGGGTTAACAGTTATCTCCCTACATATCCCCATAAAATGTGCCTCTTACTCTGTAACCCTCTAACACGAGTGGCTCTTAGGACTTGTACAAAGTGAACTTTATTGTAAAAAAGTTTTTCCAATAAATAAAAAAAAGTTCACAATACTTATCTGGGCTTAGGGCCATATCACGTCGAAATACCAGTTCCCGTACAATCACCTAAGTTAAGCAACCTGGTCAGTACCTAGATGTGTGACCGGTTGGGAATACCAGTTTCTGTAAGTTTGAATGTGCAGATAGTGCAATAGATGACAGCTCGCAATGAGAAATAGGAAAGCCGAGTTCGAATTCCAGTCGGGTTCATTATATTCATATGAATCCAGCTCTTCTTCTCCAAGCTATAGGTTAAATAGTAAGACGTGTATCAGGAAATTATTATTATCTCTCAAAAATTCTTACAATCCAAAAATGTTTTTCGGCTTTAAATGAGCTTAAGAGGGTTGATAAACTGTAAAAAACAAATCACTGAATCAATAAATATATAAATCTACTAAAAAGTTTTGTGATGTTAATACTTCTCTTGACCTGAGAAGATTTAACATAGAAAAACATTTTGTCGGTTTAGATAAATATTATGACCTCTATTTACTAATTATATATATATATATATATATATATATATATATATATATATATATATATATATATATATATGACAGTTATCTAAAACGAGTAACAGGTAATTGCATAAACCTGTCCTGATAAAGAATACCGAAACATCAAATATAACATTTTACAGTTATATACGTTGAAATATTGGTTCCCGTACAATCACTGAAGTTAAGCAACGTTGAACCTAGATGGGTGACCGGTCAAGAATCTGATATAAAAGGCTCTAAAAATACACCTCCTGATGTCCTTCGGATATAAACGTATAAAGTATTGTTCTCATCTGCTGGTCATGATTTAATCCTTGGTTATTCCCTTCGTAGTGCTTTGGTAAGGAGGAAGTTCCACTCAGACAGCTTCTTCCTCAGCACAGTCACATTGTGAAACAGACTCCCGAGAGGATGCTTCCTCGATTACTAAAATCTTAACCTCTTCAAGTTGAGGGTCACCCGTTATTTATCTTATATATCCTTATAATCTGCACATCTTACTTCCTCTTTTTTATATACTAGCTGAATTATCTGCTATTTTCAAGACTTACAAAAATTAACCTTTTTTTGAAAAATTTAAAACATATCCCCACCTCTAAAGTAATGATCGTTATTCATTAAATAATTCTTTAAAACAAAATCTATTTTTATATAAAAGTATTTACTTTTATGAAATGTTGCATTTAGTACTGCTGAAATTTCTAGAGCCCATAATGAGGAAAGAGGACTTGGAAAATTTAATACTCACAGCGCAGGACAGTAATCGGAACCATGCAACAGACAAGTCGGGCTCACGCCAAAAACGGTCTTTACTTGAATTGGGGGAACAAGAGTAAAATAAATAAATATATAATGAAATCCTTATGCCATGTTTCTGCAAGTGTGACAATATGTGAAGAGGAAGATGTGATTTTATCTTGAACTTGATCTCGATTTTAACTTGATCTTCTCAAGTGTTTCTGTTTGATGGAAAATGAATGTTTCTTTGAAATTTGGCACCCACTTTAACCGAAGGGGAACAGAGGAGTAAAGGAGTGGATGAGAGCTTTTGTAACAACGAAACAAATAGAGTGTATCCGGCCATGTATGGGATCAGGAACTCAGTTCTGGTCAATTTTGGCAGTAAACGGACTTGTCCGTTGCATGGCTCCGATTACTTGCAATTTTTGTGGCATTCGCCCGGCCAGTTGAGCCAGCTCCGTCAAATAAATCTGCTTCCTCCAAATGAAAGCTGACGAAGATTGGCAGACGTCATATTTATTCGGATGTGCAAATTCATAGGAGTTTTAGTGGGAAACTGCCCTGCTATTTTACCCATAGCTGTGGGGATAAGATATGGATTCATACCTTTACTTAGGGTATTTAGCACGTAAGTGAATGTAATGAACTCGACCGGAATTTGAACTAGGCTCTCTAATTCCACAAACCGAGTCATTATTTAACGGTGGAGTAGCTCCAAACCCACCCACTCTTATTTTCATCCACACATTGCAGTGTGTAGATAAGCGAGGAATTGGTAGGGTGAAGAGCTGATCTATGAGAAAGACATAGCAGAGATTGTCCCAAATGTTACCTAGCTATCAAACCAAATGAAGCCCTGAATAAAACGCCTAAATATAATATTGGAAATAGGATTCTAATTCTAATTTCTAAACGTGGCACGTACGGCTCCACTCTGCCTGAATAGATATGATAACTGCATGAGTTGGCCTCCATATTACGCAGAATGGAGCCGTACGGTTCTGCAGCAAAGAAACACCAGAATGTGCAGTTATCCATATTGACCATTCTGACTTTTCTGTGGAATTCAACGACCAGCAAAGAATCTGAAATCAACGTGTGAATCGATGCAAGCACCTTAGCGACAGGAGTGGTGCTGGAAAAAGATGGAGCAACGTTGGAGAACACATGCTGGCTTCAGCCAACAAACAACGCCCAACATATCAACTTGGCTGAACTGGATGCTGCAATCGAAGGACTCAATTTGGCTCTCCTGTGGCAAAGAGTCTACATAAAAATCTATTCCTTATGCGATAATATAAGTCTGTCGCGTAAAACCAGAACTTGGCAAATAAGATAACACTTGTATCCCAAAGGTGGCTTGACATGGCCAAAAGTGGAGCTGAACTTGTTCAACGAGTATGCGCTGCTTACTTCGACACCATGAGTCCCAGTCAGATAATGGAAGTACATCGACGCAGTGGGCCTCCAGGAGTACGTCGTACCACATATTTTGTGAGAAGAGTTTGTCCTTCCATGACAAAGGCCATTGAGGCCTGCGTGGAAAGCACAACAATAGATTCTGCGCCAGTCCATTGAGAAAAGTACAGACTAGGTGTGAAAATTAATTTGTACCGGCTCGGCATGGATATCACTCACTACTGCGGCAGTCATTACCTGACACTAACAAATTGTGACCCGTCACGTTTTTTCTCTATGGCGGCCCTTACACCGCCAAGACTCATTTAGTATCATACATCAGCTGGAGTCTGTGTTCTGTGAGAGACGACCAGTATTAGAGATATTTACAGATAATGACACCGCGTTCCACGGCAAAGATTTCCGTGCCTTTGTCCATGGATGAGACATGCATTTTTTATTCCGATGCGCTCATGTCCTAGCAGGAAATGGAATAACGGAGTGGTGTCAAGAGGATTGCGGCCAAGATAGTGTTGAAGAGACCACCAACCCGCGGAAGAAGAATCACATGGGGATGAGGTGGAGAACACGAACCAGTCCCACTTCGGAGAAGCACTCGACGAAAGTGACCCGCTCCATGCTGTCTTATCTGTGATCAGGAGATTGGTGGAGTGTGACGAACGTACATCAGTACAGATAAAAAAAAAAAAGCTCGGTTCACATGCAGACATGTTTTTCAACACCAGTTGCATCCGGGGTTTTCCCGTTAGCAGCGGGACGGTTTGGTATGTCTAGCTAGATACGGGCCACTCTGCATCTGCTCATGATCCGAGTCAATGAAAGATGCCACATGCCAATAAAAGCTGTAGGAACACAGTAGTCAACAATTGGCAATGCACGGTGTCTCGTGAAGTCGGTCCCGTGGGCATTTTGTTCCTCAAGTTGCTGTGGTTTCCGAGGCAGTGTTATTTTTTTTATTTTTTACTTCCCGTCTCATTCCCCTCTCTCCCTATTACCCCCGTAATTGTTGGGAGAGCAATCGGTTAGATGTTTCTCCCTAATCTCAACAGACTCTTTGCTTACATTACAACATTTTTCCATTGCCATTACTTTGTGCACATGCGACATGATTTTTCCAAACTTTCGGTACGTTCCAACGTGAACCAGACAGGAACACAACGTGGGGAAATCATAAGCAAGTCGATGGAAATCTGGGTGGGGGTCGCGTTAAATGTTTACACAAGTACGAACATGAAACTGCGTCAGAAGAATAAAACAACGCTCGTTGGATTTATATTCTTGAACTTTATATTGAGAATTTTGTCGCAAAGATCTCTTCTTGGGTTAAAGCCGGCATTAAACGGAACCCAGAAGAACCGATGGACATCGGCGAGAGGTCAACATTACGACGCCCGGCGGAATGGGAAACGAAACCGAGGACCACATGGACGTGGATGAAGACCAGATTGCAACTGAGCACCCCACACCATCGGTGACCCAGGACCCACGACGGAGCACCAGGCCATCTCGACCACCCAGACCGTTGTCCCACAAGAATGGGCGGAAAGTCACACGGGTTCTGGGACGAGTGAAATAACCACGTCAGTTCATCCCGTGGTCACGGGGTGGGGGGGTCATGTGTAGATGAGAACAGAGTTATCTGTCCCTGCGAAACAAGCTGAGACAGAGTTACCTGCCCTTGGCATAGTATATAAAGCGGACCGGTGAACACGGCCGGGGGTGTTTTACTGACTTACAGTACCGGATATACTCGTCACACTTTACAACTTTCTACTCTCGATTCATCTGGAGTATCTGCCTGACTTTCTACTTAGAACTGATTCTCTATTGAATGATATGCATATAACTCCGACTATGGTTTCTGCTAAACTGGATACTCACTAAGTATGTGAACTTGATGGTATTCTTGCAATAATCCTTATTTCTAGTCTTTAAGAACTCAGGTGAACAGTCCGAGGCTTCTATTGGTCTGTTGTTAACTGAGCAAAGAAATGGCGTGTTGATTTTAACGTCTCCATCTCTTTTAATTAAGCCGAATCTACTTATTCCCACAAAACATTAATTAATTTTTCCACAAAGAATTAACTCACAAAATTCACCAATTAACTGATGCTGCTAAGAAACCTGGATCCGCCGAAGCTTTGAAATGGCACACGACTTACAATTAAGAAGATGATGTCAATAGTCTTGGAGACAATTCTGACTGGCAAAGCAAGTAGTGAGGCTGTATTTATTCTTAAAATTCCACTTATTCCCTCAGAGATGCCTTTCTGGTTCAAGCGGCTGCAATTCTCAGTGAAACTGAGATTTTTCAGTCAGCATTAACAAAGCTCAGGGATAATCCTTGAGTGTGGCTTGCCGTAACCTTGTAAAACTGGTTTTCTTCCACAGCCAACTTTATGTGAGTTGTTCAACAAGTCAACAATTCCAATCATTTGTTTATTTATCCCACACAGAAAGACGAAAAATGTTGTTTATCAAGAGGTAATGCAAACTTGATAAAAAATACCCAATCATCAGATGTTTATGATTTAAATGTACTATTTGTCAGTGTTGTAAATCTTTTGTTAATCAATATGTATCAGGTCATCCCATATGTTCTGTCCGAATTTTGAATAAAGTAAACAAGTGACCACAGGTTACATTTAATTACAGATTCAATCAACAATGCATTTCCCCTGATTATCTATGACTTCTTTCCATCTATTAACAAACTTACTAATTCCATTACTGTAAAATTCTTTTGGCTTTGATTCGAAGAATTCACAAATGTCAGTTTTAAACCTCTTCCTATGTTACAAAAGCTGTTTCTTCCAAATGATTCTGTAAGCTACGAAAGAAATGGTAGTCTAAAGGAGCAAGATCGGGAGAATAAGGTGGATGAGGAATTTTCTCCCAACCAAGTTCTTCGATCTTTTGTGACGTGATTCTTGCTGTGTGGGGTCGCGCATTGTCCTGATGAAACATCACCCCTTTTCGATTCACTAGAGCAGGTCTTTTTTCCTCAAAGCTTGGTTCAAACGCTCTAATTGCTGACAGTATATTTGAGCATTAATTGTTGCATTAGGTGATAAGAATTCAAAGTGGATTATTCCTTGGCGATCCCACCAGATTGAAAGAACCTTTTGCCCATGAAGTTCCCTTCTCAGCTGTGACTGGGGTCCTTCCCCTTTACCAAGCCACTGTCTACAATGCTTAACATTTCGATAAAAGATCCATTTTTCATCGCCAGTCACAAGTCTATCCAAAAAAGGTGAAACAAGTTGGCGAGAATGGAGAGAAGAGCAGATGTCAACTTGGGATTTGAGGTTGTTTTCAGACAATTCATGAGGCACCCATTTTCCAAGTTTAGGAACTTTTCCAAGTTGGTGAAGATGACGATGAACAGTTGTATGGTTTGAACTGAGAACCACTGCCAATTCCTTAACTGATAAAGCAAGATTTTCTTCAAGGGATGCTTCAAGAAGCTTTTCATCAAACTCAACTGGACGTCCGGTTCAATCTTCATCTTCAAGGGTGAAATCTCCACCTTTGAATTTTGCAAACCATCTTCTGCAAGTTCTTTCATTCACACATTCCTCTCCATAAACTGAGTGAATGTTTCTAGCTGCTTCGGCTGCTGAGTTTCCTTTCTTGAACTCATAAAGCATTATGTGCCTCAAATGGTTCTTGGGTACTTCCGAGTTAGCAGGGTTTTAATCAAACAAAATTTAATTTTATTGTTCTCTGAAATAAAATTTGATCAGTTTAAATGCATCTAAACATGAAAATAATGTTCACCCCCATTAGACATTATAAAATACTCTTTAAATTTCGTTCATTTTAACAAAAAGGTAAAATTCAGACAGAACTTATGGGATGACCTGATAATTCTTTTTGTAAATCTATGTATACATCTATTTGCAAGTCTATTGTGAAACTATATATCAGTCTATTTGTACCTCTATCGTAAATTTATTTTTACACTAGTCTTCCTAAGGGCTATATTCTCTGTGAATGCACAAAAGCCCTTTTCAGGACTGCTTACATTGAATTGTCACTTCTAGATAACCAATTTATCTGCTTTATGATTTGGTATTTATAACTTATTGGTATTTCCTCCAAAAATCCTAATAGAGGCAGTTGGGTATTCTTCTGTGAATGCAAAAAAAGCCCTTGTAAGTGATACTTACTTTGAATTGTTACTATTGGATAACCAAAAAAAGAATATGAGAACAGAATTTGGGGACAACATCAGCTTTTCCGGGAATTACTGGATACATTAGCTCGTTAAACATAAAAATAAATTTAAAAAAATGGAAATGACTGATCATTTCATATATCCTGAATTGAGGTGTGTCCATTGATGTCTACACTATCATCTACCGCTTCCGTAGGTAATTAAATATAAAAATAAATTTACAAAATGTAAAAAAAGACTAATCTTTTCATATGCCCTGAATTGAGGTTTATCCACTGCTGTTTCTGGAGGTAATTAAATATAAAAATAAATTTTAAAAATCTCAAAAAAGAAACAAAAGCAATTTTTCAAACTTTATTTCATTCTATACAAACATAATTATAACTAGCTTCTCGAAATATTATATTTGGAATAAAAAAATAAATTATTTTTTAATCATTAATCCATCACGGCCAACCATAAAAAACAGTATGAGTTATAAAAATTAATATAAAATATCAGTGTTAATTACAGGTTACTAAAAAATCCAGTATTCATTATAGTTTCTTTTTTTTTTAATTAAAAATATATATA